GGGTGGGGTGGGGTGGGGGGGCAGAGCGGGTGTGTTTCAGCACACCAGCTCACGCAGCCACCCGAGAGAGGAAAACACAGGTCAAGCGCAGCGCGAGCGGATAATCAGAACATAAATCCCTGGGAGATTAAGCAAATCCTCCACGAGATTAAATTTGTTTTCTCCTCAGGTTAATTCATTATCTTCTCTGAAAATCACCCAAACTGATCCGGCCCCGGCACAGATAACCCCGGGGGCAGCAGTAACGAGCGAGACAGCTTGCCAGGAACGGCAAAGCGTTCCCCCCGCGGCGTGGGTACGCGCAAGGGAAGCGAGCCCGACTCTCCCGCCCCTTCCCCTCTTCGTATCCCGAACCCAATGGCCCACGCTCATCAGCTTCCACCGCTATCTTCCCCCCCCGCCCCGCGCTCCAGATCGCGCAGAAGAGAGCTAGGATCCAAGTCACCCACGGGGGAAGACGCAGGACACCCCAACCTGTCGCCCGTCCCACCGAAGCCAGCTGAAAACGCCAGCCGTCGAGAAGGAGGAGCGTTTGCTCTCAGCTGGTCCCTCAACCCCAAAACGTCCGTGTCCGTCCCCCCCCTCCCGGCCCCGGCTCCCAACAGCCCAGGAGCTCCTCTAACGCCGGAGCGAAGGGAGCCAAACGTAGCGCGATCGGCGCGTGAATCACGACCGAACCCCTTCTGAGGCTTCAGCTGAAGCCATATGCTCAGAGTCAGGCTCGGCGGGCGGCAGAGGGATTCCCGCAGCGGGGCCGGGCCGACGTCATCCGGCAGGCACGCTGGCTGCGGAGGTGAACTTTGCCTGCCGTCAGCTACCGGAGCGACTCGCAGCTCGGGGAAGCACGTCACATCCAGCCCACGGCATCTCGGCTCGCTCCCAAAGGCGTCGAGAGGATGGGACAACACGCGCCCAGGAGAAACCCTTGTGTAACGGGCAAAAACCCAGCGGATACGCACGACACGCAGCCTCCGGTAACTGAAATTGGGGCGGTTTTACGCGTGCTCGCGTCTCCCGTCCCGGGAGGCTGAACCGATCCCCGGCTCTGGAAGGCCGGAGGGAAATCGAGCCCTTACCTTGCGGGTCGGCTTTCTTGAAGGCATTGCCCGCGTCCACGAAGTTGGTGGCTGCGTCATGCTTGCTCTGCAGCTGCAGGTGGAGCTGCGCCGCCTGGCAAAAGGCGTTCCCCGCGGCTGAAGGGGGAGAGAGGAAGCTCAGGAGCATCGTCTTAACCCTTTCAGAGAGGTGGGGTGGAAAAGCCAGGCGCGGGCAGGTTACCCTGCTCAAAATCGAGCTGAAGTAAGCCAGCGGCATCGAGCCTGCGCTGGCTTTCAGGCCCAGAGGGGTTCACTTCTCCCTGGAGGAAGCGAGGAGACTGCACCCCCAGCCCAGGGAAACAGCCCGCGGCCGCGCTCGTACGTACCGCTCCAGTTTTTGGCCATTTTGAACATGTTTGCTGCTCGGGCGTAGATGTCGCATGCTTCCTCTATCCTGGAGGAGCCCCTGGAAGCAAACAGAAGCCGGGCGTTGCATAAATGCCTGCCGGGAAGGTCAAACCCCGCGCCCGAGCGGGGGGAAAAAAAGATAAAATAAAATAAAAATCACATTGCTCCACTCCAGCTGCCCACAAGAGCGAGAGAGGCTCCCCGGGGCGAGCTGCTGACACAGACGAGTCTCTCCCAGCTCGAGAGGGACCCGGCCCCTGCAGGACTCTCTCGGGAAGCTGCAATTAAAATGGGAGCCAAAGCGGGTCCGCTGCCTGCTTGCTCCCAGCTGAAGCTCGCAGGCGGCCCAGGGGCTGGCACGGCAGGAATCGTGCTCGCGGCCGTGGGGAAGTAGCCCAACCTTTCCCTGCTCTAAAACTCCCCCCAGACGGCAGGAGCTGGGCCAGTCCCTCAAGAAGCGCTTTCTTTTATTAATAATTAACGAGCAGAGGGATCCTCCCGCAGCAAAGGGGTGAAGCGCCTGTCCCAAACGAGCCCACGCTGCTCCCATCGGCAAAGCCCCGGCTCACGGCTTCCCTCTGCCGCCGGCCACACACCCCCCCCCCGCTGGAGCGGCCCCCCGGCCCCCGGGTCACCGCCACAGCCAGAAGGCAGGGAAGGCAGAGGCTGCGGGGCTGCCCGTTAGCCCGAGGGGAGCGGGGAGGGAGCCAGCTCGTCCGACAATGACCCGTTTTTAAAATGCAGCGGCCGCGGCACACGAGCACCACCTCCCAGCTCTCCGGCTCCGCCAGCGAGCGCGTTCCTCTGCTGACCTCGCCGATTCTGGCTAGAAACCCCGGCTGGCGACTCAAGGGAGGTTATTATGGTTGCGTTTGTGTTTGGGGGGGGCTTTTCTTAAGCACAGGCTTAAGCAGTTCTGCTCGCGTTTTCCTCCCTCCCACTAGAAACCTGCAGTTAGAGACGTGGCAGGGGCTGGCAGGGGCGGCCCGCCGGCCCGCCCGGAGCCAGAGCTCCGCCGGTTCAGATCGGTTTGAGCAGCAAAGTTCTCCCGCTCCCCAAAAAAAGAGGAAGGAAAAAGAAAAAAAAAAAAGAGGGAAAGCATCAAGGCAGGCGCTCCGCCCGACGAACAAACCGCGCTCCCGGCAATGCCGTCCCCGCCGAACGCCGGCCGATAACCGGGCGAAAAGGGCAATAGGCATCCGGCGGATTTCGGCAGCCGGACTTCACAGGCGCAGAGCTGACGATGGCTCAAGGCCGCTCGAGACAACCGGGGAGATCTCAGCGCTTTACAAAACTGCCTTTTAACCCAAAGAATCCCAACCGTGATTAGAAATTACCGTTTAATACCTAAACGCCCGACTTTTCCGTCTCACGTTAATCTGGAGCTGTTAAATAACGTCAGGGAGGGCGAGCTGAGGGAAACGCGGCAGCACGGCGAAGCGAAGGGCCGCAGAAACCACGGCTCCGGTCCCCGCCACGCACAAAACCCGCCCTCAGCGTCTCCTTCCCAACCCCAGCCCGAGGAAAACAAACCTCCCCCTTATCGGGCGAGCGACGGACTCGCTCTTGCTTATGAAATCCCTCGGGTTAAAGCTGAATTTTGCGACGTTAAGCGCGGGGCGCCTCTCGTTTCTCCCCTAGCGCTGCGGCTAGGAGTCAAAGCCGGAGTTAAAGCCAGGCCCGGTGAGCCAGCGCCGGCGTGCAACCAGCCCGGTCTTTGCACAGAGACGAGTCTGCGCGGCACCAAGGGGGGCAAATTGGACCCTCGGAGTTTGTCCTTCGCCGGAACGACGCGGGGCACGGGGAGGGGGGGGAGCAGAACTCCCTTGGCCCCGACGAGCCCCCGCAGAGACGTACCGCCAGCCAGG